ATTAGTGCTACAAAGTTGATTAAAAAAAGAAATTGTACAGAATTTTATCAGCTACAATTTTGTATACCACATTAATTTCCATACAATGCATATTTTCAACGTTATTGCCGAAATTCTGAAAAGAATTCGATTTTTTTGATGTTTTTCCAATATGGCGACCGTAGCCATGCTAAATTTTGTACTCAAAACATAAATTAATATTTTGTACATCAAAAGACACCATCTCACCAAATTTCATAAATCCGGAGATTATTGGAATTTACAATGGTAAAAAAATCCCCGGGGACTGGGCTATTGTACGAGTTTCACCACGAGTACATGGTACCTATGTTTAAGGAAAATTGTAAAATTATGTACACCGACACGGACAGTCTCATATATCGCGTCGAATGCGACGACGTGTACGCGGCGATGAAACGCGATATCGCTAGATTCGATACGAGCGACTAACCGACGGACAACGCGTACGATATACCTCTCGCGAATAAGAAGGTACCCGGCCTTATGAAGGATGAAAACAACGGCGCGATAATGACCGAGTTCGTTGGATTCAGAGCGAAGAAGTACGCGTTGCGCGTGGACGGAAAAAAAGACGCACGAAGAAGGCAAAGGGTGTAAAGAGCAGCGTCGTAGCGCGAACGATAACGTTCGACGATTACACCCGATGCTTGAACGAAGAGATGGAAATGACGTGTAGACAGTCGGGTATACGAAGTTACACCAAGTGTATACGGTGTCGGAAAAGAAAATCGCTCTGAGTCCGTACGACGACAAACGGTACGTCGTACCGGACTCGACGGAGACGTTACCGTGGGGACATTGGCGGATACCATTGTAGTAGTATAGTTTGCGATTTTTATACGTGTTTTAGACTTAGCATTTACTTTTACTTTTATACGTAATTTTATACTTTTATATACGTAATATTATACTTTAATTTTATATATGTATTTTATACTTTTACTTATACTTGCACTTATACTCGTACCTATACTTCGACTTTTATATATGTATTGAGTTTTATGTATTAGGTTTTATACTTTTATATATGTTCTTTTATATTGAGTTTTACTTTTACTTATACCTATACTTGTACTTATACCTATACTTATACCTATACTTATACTGTACGTATATATGTATTGAGTTTTAGGTATGTAAGTATGTATTGAGTTTTATGTATTTTATACGTTTTTAAATTGTATTTCTTAATATGTATTTTACTTTTACTTATACCTATACTTATACTTGTACTTATACCTATACTTATACTTATACCTATACTTGTACCTATACTTATACCTATACTTATACTGTACGTATATACAGGATGGGCCATTTTAATCTCCCCACCTGAATTTCTCGAAAACTAAATCCTGTAGACAAAAATGTTTCAAATAAAAATGGAACGGTATCGAGAGGGACACATTTTAGTCACGTTGTGTTTTTTCTAAGTGGAGGAGCTAAAAAGATATGAAGGTCACCTCCACTTTTTTAAATGGAATTATGTAATTTTTTTTAGATAACGTGATTTCTTTAATTATTTTGCATATAAAAGTATTAAGGTAGATATACTAAAAACCAATAGTTTTCGAGATATTTTACACTTCATTTTGATACATATTGACACAAAATGTTAAATAACTCGTAAACTGTTGACTTTTTGATTATCGTACCTTAATACCTTTGTGAACAGAATAATGAGATAAATCAAATGGTGTAAAGAAAACACATAGTTGCTTTAAAAAAAATATGTATACAAAATGGATAATTTTTTAAATACGCAACTATGTGTTTTTTTTATATCACTTGATTTATCTCATTATTCTGTTCACAAAAGTATTAAGGTACGATAATCAAAAAGTCAACAGTTTACGAGTTATTTAACATTTTGTGTCAATATGTATCAAAATAAAGTGTAAAATATCTCGAAAACTATTGGTTTTTTGGTATGTCTACCTTAATACTTTTATATGCAAAATAATTAGAGAAATCACGTTATCTAAAAAAAATTACATAATTCCATTTAAAAAAGTGAAGGTGACCTTCATATCTTTTTAGCGCCTCCACTTAGAAAAAAAACAACGTGACTAAAACGTGTCTCCCTCGATACCGTTCCATTTTTATTTGAAACATTTTTGTCTACAGGATTTAGTTTTCGAGAAATTCAGGTGGGGAGATTAAAATGGCCCATCCTGTATGTATTGAGTTTTAGGTATGTATGTATTGAGTTTTATACACGGGGTGTCCATTAAGTCGCGGACCGGGCTAATAACTTGAAAGAAAAAAAAAATTTCGAAAAATGCCGAAACACCTGAAACGATTTTTCAAAAAATCTATCTTTTGAGGGGGGTTACGACCCCCCACCCCCAATGGGGCACGTGGGGCACTAGGGGGGTCGAAAATCTTAAATGGCAACATAGGTCAAGTGGGGGCTCATTGGAAAGGTCTTTTCGAGACGAATCCAAAACACTACTCATAGAGGGCGTTGCGTTCACTTTTGGCGGGAAAATGCAATTTTGAAGATTTTTTACTCAGAAACATTAAAAAAGTTTAGTGTTTCGATAATCAACGGAACACGTGAAAAACGATTTTTCAAAAAATCCATCTTTTGAGGGGGGTTTCGACCCCCTACCCCCAAGGGGGCACGAGGGGCACGAGGGGGGATGAAAATCTTAAATGGCAACATAGGTTGAGTGGGGGCTTGTTTGAAAGGTATTTTCAAGACGAATTCGAAACACTATTAATAGAGGGCTCGGCTAAGATAGTTAATCTTGCAAATCAAGAAAAAATAAAAATTTCTAAAAAATCCAAAAAACGTGAAACAATTTTTAAAAAATCTATCTTTTGGGGTTTTACCTTGATCGGATGATTTCAATACTTAAATCAATAACAGTTCAAATCAACATAACAATACAAGCTGATTTCTGACCAAAATAATCGTTAACTGCTCGATATCGGATGCTATACTTATGTATTTTCTCTGAAGCAATATCACTTGCGAGAAACGTTTTTCGTGGAGATGTGCGAATTTTACCATGAAATTACTCTGATAGAAATGACTGTAGCGTCCTCTATGCCCAGTAGCCCGGTCATATTAGGGGTCAACCTCGGAATGAAAGATAATAAGCTGTAAATTGGTATAAACCTTTGTTTTGTCGTTGTAAATGTTGTCTCAAAAGTCACAAGTGCTATCGTGTCCGCGTCTTAAGATATTGAAGGTCAAAGGTCATAAAAATCGGTTTTTCGCGAATATCTCGCTTTCTATTGCTTAAATGAGATTTGCACCTATTATAAAAGTTGTAGAGTATAAAATTCTCTACAACTTTTGTTTGAACTTTTTTTTCATACGATCAACCTTTTTTGCGGTAGACCGCGAAGAGTGCGCCGCGTACAGTCATATATGGCCTAATGCAAGGTCAAGCGTGAGTTGCGGTTATCAGTACGTTGTATAAAGTTAATTATTTACTAAAAAATTATAATTATTAAACAATGCCCATTATTTATGTACTAATTATTAATTATTTATATTTAATTAAAATAAGTGACTTAATTATTTATATTTAATTATTTATATTTAACTATTTAACTATAGTATATTATTAATTTTGGAATGTATATTTTAGTTATATTTTAAGTTATTCTTCTTCTTCGTCGTCTTCTTCTTGTTATCCCTCGAAAATGTTCAATTCATTGTCATCATCCTCATTATCGGTCATATTCATCTCCAAACCTTCCAGAATTTCAGGATCGTATGCGCTTTCTTCATCGGGATTACTTGGATGTAGTGAAGCGTTGAGGCAAGCTTGTCCATTGCACTGGCCACAAGCTAAAGAACATAGTATCCCTGATTTTCTGCATCCACAGCGGGAACCACAACCGTTTTTGCAATTGCAAAATATTATATTTAGTAGTTCGGCTGGTGCTGGAGGCAATAACGTTCTTATGGGCTCCAGGATTTCATTTTCAAGCATCCAGCCCCATTCTTGAGGTTCTAAGTCCTTCCCTAACCACGTTTGAATCTGGTAGTAGACACGATTTATATGTTGATGAGCTGCTACACTTGTTGGTGGAAGTGTTGACAATTGTACAGGTTTATTTAGTTTCGTTAATTTGATGAATTGCGTGTAGCGGAAATGATCAATGTTGTCCTCACATTTTGGAGCATTATATAATGCCAACAAGATACGCACTCCATTTTCAAATAATGTTTGTACGGGGGAGTTATAACCGCAACTCACGCTTGACCTTGCATTAGGCCATATATGACTGTACGCGGCGCACTCTTCGCGGTCTACCGCAAAAAAGGTTGATCGTATGAAAAAAAAGTTCAAACAAAAGTTGTAGAGAATTTTATACTCTACAACTTTTATAATAGGTGCAAATCTCATTTAAGCAATAGAAAGCGAGATATTCGCGAAAAACCGATTTTTATGACCTTTGACCTTCAATATCTTAAGACGCGGACACGATAGCACTTGTGACTTTTGAGACAACATTTACAACGACAAAACAAAGGTTTATACCAATTTACAGCTTATTATCTTTCATTCCGAGGTTGACCCCTTTTTTTACCTAATATGACTGGGCTATAGTGTTGTTATGCCTAACGAAAGGAATACAATTATGCCTGGTTTATGCTTCAGGCCTTAATCCCAAAATTAAACCAATAAAGCTGCCAGTTCTAACCGAAATTTGAACTCTATTGGCTGAATTTTAGGATTAAGTCCTTAAGACCGAAGCATAAACCAGCCATTACTGTCGAAATGCTAAGAAATGTGAGATACGAGTTTTCATTGCGGCTTGCTCATTATCAAGCACAGGAGGGCAGATATTTTGAGCATTTATTGTAATTATCGAAACACTAAACTTTTTTAATGTTTCTGAGTAAAAAATCTTCAAAATTGCATTTTCCCGCCAAAAGTGAACGCAGCGCCCTCTATGAGTAGTGTTTTGGATTCGTCTCGAAAAGACCTTTCCAATGAGTCCTCACTCGACCTATGTTGCCATTTAAGATTTTCGACCCCCCTTGTGCCCCACGTGCCCCGTTGGGGGTGGGGGGTCATAACTCCCCTCAAAAGATAGATCTGTACACGCTGTCGTATGAAAGTTTTCTGTACATCGAAGGAAAATTGGCAAAGACCAAAGTGGTACCGAACGCCGACGTGGCACTGGGAAATAATTGCGTCGCTTTCATGTTCGATGAGATTCGCTACGAACTCAACGGCGTGGAGATTGATCGCAACAGAAACGTGGGCGTAACTAGCACGCTCAAAAACTACGTGACGGTGTCATCCGACAAAAGCGTGATTCTGCGAAACGCTGGCTGGGATCCGCAGACTGAGGCTGATGGATACTTTAATTTCTGCGTACCGCTCAACGTACTACTGGGATTCTGCAAGGATTACAGACGTGTGGTGATCAACGCTCGTCACGAGTTGATTCTGATACGAGCGTGCAACGACGTGAATTGTCTGTTGGGAAATTGGACGGTGGAGCCGAAGCTTGAACTGTTCAAGATCCAATGGCGAATGCCGCCCGTGGTATTGAGCGAGATAAATAAGCTGTCGATGCTACGGGCCTTGGAGAGTGGACGATACCTGAGCATGCCTTTTCGCTCGTGGGATCTGTACGAGTACCCGCTTTTACCGAATACGACGAAGCATTCCTGGGCTATGAAAACTGCGACTCAGCTGGAAAAACCGCGATACGTCATCTTTGCTCTGCAAACGGATCGAAAGAAGATGGCCGAGTATACGAGCCGATTCGACGACTGTAAATTGACCAACGTGAAACTCTACTTGAACTCGGAATGTTATCCGTACGACGACTTGAATCTGGATTTCACTAGAAACAAATGGGCGATTCTGTACAACATGTACGCGCGCTTCTGCAAGGACTACTACGGATACGAGTATCTCGAACCGAATCTCACCGTTACGACTTTTCTTACGAAACGGTCCGTTTGTAATCATCGATTGCTCTCGACAGAACGAATCGGTCAAGAGCGCGACCGTGGACGTGCGAATGGAATTTAAGTGCAAGGAGAACGTACCCGCGAATACTACCGCGTACTGTCTCATCATGCACGATCGCGTGGTCGAGTATAACCCGCTGACCAACGTTGTGCGCAAAATCATCTAAGCGCGCGATATAAAAATCTACGATACGTCGACATCGTTCACAGTCTTCTTCATCTCGATGACATGCATGTACCGACGTTCGTGGATCTGCAAGGTTTCATCGTCAACGAGAGATTCATCGTGAAGGAAGTGGCGGTACTGAAACACGGGTACGAACTCACGCACTACATTTTTACGAATCCCGTACCATGGAGATTTTTGACAAGATTCGACAGGTCTTGCGCTTCCTGGTTGATTGCTTATCACCATGGATTGCGATGGACGGACGGGACGACCTCGTACAGCGAGGCGAAACGCCTGATTACGAGTGCTGTACGCGAGGAGGAGGAGGATGCTGTGGTGTACGTCAAGGGACGTGAGAAACGAACATGGCTGCGAGACTTGCTTCTGGACGAACGCGTGCACATCGAGACCCTGGATGCAGTTTACGAAGACATAAAATCTTTAGCCGATATAGATGCCATTGATACTATGCGATGCGGACATCACGCTAACAATTGCGCTTTACAAAATGTATTCAAAATACATAATTGGTGGTTGCAAAGAAATTTTTTTAAATAAAAATTATGTAACGTATTTATCGTGTATTCTCTCTTTTCCTATATATGTACTTAGTACTTAAGTATGTATGTATGTATGTATGTATGTATGTATAAACGCGTAGACAGTATATATATAGACAGTGCGTAAAGCTCTTTTCATTCAATCGTAATCTTACTAGCGTTACGGCATGGACCGAGTAAACGATTATCTGCATCGAAAGTGGACCAAGCTCAAGGGATACCGTCGGTTAGATGACGATCGGTTAGACGACGATCATGAGCCGCTGTGCCCACCGAGCCCCCCACCATCGAAGAAAAATCAAAGATATTGGGAGTTGCCTCCAGAACATATGTCGAAGGATACATTTTCGACAAAAAATCAAAGATATTATTGGGAGTTGCCTCCAGAAAATACGTCGACAGATACATCTTCGACTTATAAGCCGACGTCTTCATCATCGTCAAAAAATAGATACGAACATCCCCGAATTCCCCCCCCTCCCCCACCATTGAGGAAAAAAGCGCGGAAAGCAGGAAACAACACGTCATCAAAAGATAATACATCATAAAAGTATAAACAATAATGTATGTATGTACGTATACACATAGATGAATTCGCGGTAGAAAGAATACATAGAAAGTTGCGATAAAACTTGTCGCGACAGGTTTGCAATTCTCGGAAAGAGAATTTACCCCCTCTCTCTTCGATTTACCCCCCTCTCTTCAATTACAGAAGTATTACAATCAATTTAATACGCTGATGTGATCAGTCTTGCTATATTCGCTTGCTATATTCGAACGGATCAAAAATGTTTCGCTTTGACTCCGCCACAGAGAGCGAACCGAAGAAGGAATCGTAAGTTTTAATAATCTATACTGAACAAAACCTTTTCTTTTTATTCTCCTATAACTTTACTGATCGCGTTATCACGCAGGATCAAGCGTCGCGCGGTGCTCATTCTGAGTCGGCGTTACGACCAGGGGGGTGATTGTGTATCTTAAAACCTAGTGAAAATCATAAAAGTGAGCTCTCACTTGATTGGCTAATTTTCATCATAGTGAGAATGCGATATTTTTCACGTGAGATTGTTCGGCAAGAAATTTCTAGTGAATTGTGCCAAAGTGTGCCTAACCTGCACAGTCGTCAACGCTTAATATCTCGGTTCGTAGGGCAGAGAGACACTTTTTTCTGTCAGATTCTTTCGTTTTATACAAAAAACGCATCGATTGAGTATATTTTAATCAAAATTTAAGAGGAGCGGGTTCTTGTATAAACAAGAATTATATTTACCGTGTGTCTAGTCGAAATTGTTCAAACGAAATTTTGCTTATTTAACGTAATGGACATTTTTATGCTTCTTTGCATGGAGGAAAATGAAAATAATGACAATATTCGTAAAAAAAATTTAAATTTAATTAGAAGACGATTACGGGATACACAAGATCCATTCGATATCCCAAACAGTACATTTCAAAAGTTATATAGGTAAAGTATATACCTAAATAAATTATGCTTTATATGTTATGAATTATAAACATTAATGTGCATAATTATTAATATGTGCAAAACATTAAAAACGTTTGAAAAATGTATATTTAGTGTAGTTTTTAAACGTGTACGCTATTATATGGAATAATACTTGTTTATTATTTCTACCTCTATACTAATTGTAAATAATATCACAATATTATAACTATACATATCTTCATATAAGTATATAATATATACATATATATACGCTCACACATAATGCAATAATACAATGTTTTTATTTGTTTTAGGCTACATAAAACAGCAACTATGATGCAATTTTCTTACTTATTTAATACATTTATATTGTACATAGCAGTCTTATTAATTTATTAATAAAAAGAAATTAATTGTTTATAATTTCATATGTTTATGCTATTAAGGATTCATTACATAATAAATATTACCAAATATGAAAATTACCTTGGCCCATTCTTTACAGAATTTACGTGGTCCGCATGCTGCAGTATTTAACATTATAGATAATTTTTCCCAAAATTCATCCTATAACCATTTAAGCACACACAATATAAAAATACATTTAAAAACAAAGACCATATAAAAGAAAAATATTTATAAAAAAGCACTTGTGAAAATGTAATTAACAGAATAAAAATAATAATTAATATTTATAACATTCTTACAATTTTTCGTTTATTTTCACTATTGTATCGTAAACGTCCTCTGCCGAAATCGGGATATCTTTGCATAAAGGAAAGTAATATTCCTTTTTGTTTCTCGGTTACGTTCATTTTTCCTAAAGCAACGAGAATGACCGACAATTACAGTGGACCATTTTCTCCGAATTGGCTTTATAGATCATAAAAATTTTTCACACGATGAAAGTATACATCAAAATGAATGGGTAACGCTAAATTTGATTACAAAATTGGAGAAAAAAAATAAAAAAGTTCACTTATTCTCACAGCTATCATTTGAGGTTATAATTTATTTATTGTAGAAATTTCGGTAGGTTGTACATACCAAACCCTCGCGCAAAGCGTATGATGTGCACAAATAATCCTAAGCTTGCGAAATTGTTATCTAAACAAAAAGGATAATCGAAAATATTTGTTTGACGCGTAATCGTTTTGCTGGCACAGAGATAAACGATGGTAAACAGAGAATTGTGTGGTACTTCTCGTACTTTCATGCTTTCATGTCACATGAAAAAATACGCGCGATTGGCTATGATCGTAGTGAAAATACGATATCCCTATGCTTACGGGAGCTAAACGTGAAATATATTGCGCATATGAATCAATATGGAGATGTGAATAAGAAATATAACCTCTTTATCTTCGCGGAAATTGACAGAGATATGTAAAAAGGTGTATATTAAAAAATTTTTTGCAAACAATTATTGCGACCTATGACAAAAATGAACATAACCGAGAAACAAAAAGAAATATTACTTTCCTTTATGCAAAGATATCTCGATTTCGGCAGAGGACATTTACGATACAACAGTGAAAATAAACGAAAATTAAATTAAATTAAATTAAATTTAAATTAAATATATAATAATTTTAATAAAATAATAATTTTAATAAAATAATAATAATTTTAATAATAATTTTAATAATAATTTTAATAATAATTTTAATAATAATTTTAATTAAATAATTTTAATAATAATTTTAATTTTAATTTCTTTTGCGAATACTATTGTCATTTTCATCTTCCTCTATGCAAAGAAGCATAAAAATGTCCATTGATATGTCTTAAATAAGATAAATTTCGAACAATTTCGACTGATTTCGACACACTTTGGCACAATTCGACAAGAAATTTCTTGCCGAACAATCTCACGTGAAAAATATCGCATTCTTACTATGATAAAAATTAGCCAATCAAGTGAGAGCTCACTTTTATGATTTTTACTAGGTTTTAAGATACATAATCACCCCCAATTCATATGCGCAATATATTTCACGTTTAGCTCCCGTAAGCATAGGGATATCGTATTTTCACTACGATCATAGTCAATCGCGCGTATTTTTTCATGTGACATGAAAGTACGAGAAGTGAGGAAAGTCGACAAAGATACACAATTGACCCCCTGACCGCCACGGGCTACAAGTTTCTGGAAATTGGAATCAACGTCGGTCCACCATGCTACGTGGAGATCGTTCTGGAAGATCATCACGGACGCGAACTGTCGATGTCTCTCGAAACGTGGAAGGGTCTGTACGAGCAGCGACGGAATATATACAAATTGCTGCGAAACGAGTACAAGGACGATTTTATAAACGTTGGATCGCTAACGATCAGAATCTGCACGCATAACGACGTTACGCTCGTACGACTCGAATCTTCGACCGTACACGTCATGATGATCGAATCAACGCTACGCCGAATGTTCGATCTCGACGGCTGCATCGACGTAACTTTCGAGCGATTAGCCCGACTCGTCGATACCGTCGACGTTAAGTCGCGCTTCGCCAAAGTCGCGCTTAATCAGTCGCGATATACGCGACAGCGTATGTCTTCGACAAACGCCAGCTCGTCGATTGCGTGCTCCTCGCATTGGTTTTTAACGCGTAAGAAATATTTACTATGTGACAAATACTGTGTAACAAAAAAAAATTTGATCAACTTGTAAGAAAATTGATTGTGCAAAACAATATGAATAAATGTTCTCTGTCTATAATATTATACGAGTACTTTCTTTCCCGTTCGTTCTAAAATGTTCCTACGCACGTATCAAACTCTGTTTGATGCATTTGTATCACGCCATATTGATAATGTTGAACTCGGCGCTCGAACATGTCGCGACGTGTCGCGACGTGTCGCCGGTCTTCCTGGAAATTTATCGCGAAAGATAGCGCGTATTAATTTAATACTCGGTATCAAATTACATCGAGGAAGCATTTTTCAGGGTGTTGGCGATCTTTGAAAACGCCCGCGCTGTAGCGATGACGCATGCGCAACACACTACATGTCACGTAATCAATGTCACGTGATCACTGTGGAAGAATTTTTCGGGGAACGGGGGGTACATTGAAAAAGCATTTTTCAGGAGGGGGGACTTGACTTCGTTGATGACGTCATCGCCTACATCGGCTGCATTGCCTCGAAAGGGTGGCGGCAGCTTTTGAAATTTTATACCTAAACAATAACATCTCGGCGGCGGCTTTTGAAAATGTACCCCCGTAAACATCTCGGTGCGCTATCCCGGCGGTTAGGATGAGGGAGGCGGTTCGATAAGGCGGCCCAGCGGTTAGGGTGAGGGGGCGGCGGCGGCACGGGCGAGGAGGCGGCGCGATAAGGCGCGGCTCCCCTCCATAGCCACATACACACACACACGGGCGGGTGCAAGGAGGTGGCCGAAGGCCGCACCCATACCGTCGACAGATGTCTACCCCGACAGTACAATCATAGCAACAGTACAATCGTAGAAGTCGTGTGCCCCTTCGCAGGGGGTTGGGGGAGGTGAAAGTTACTTCGCGTGGAAAGTTTAACGTTTCTAAACAGAAGGAGATGTTAAATAGTGCTTGTTATAATACATATATGGCAGAAATGATACGTTAATATGTATAATTTCTGAGTAATGGTACGTTAATTTTGAAACTTTTTTTGTTAATAACTTTTTAACGGACAGTGACCGCCACCTAAAACCTGCGGGAGGTTACTCAGGGTCATGACCTTGACAACATATGTCAACGTCAAGATCATCGGGGGAGCTCCCCTTTTTTAGATATTTACCACGTCTTTTTACCCAAGATTCACAAGCCTTGCAGTAACTAGATTTTGTAATTATATCAATAACTTTTCCAGTACTCCATCCGATTAAAGACATCAAACTGAACAACGAAGAAAATCCTCGTTTTCTCCAAGATCCATCTCCTGATACTACCAAACCATTGAAGTTTTTTCTAGCACTTTTTTCTTCTATGTTTACTGCCTTCTCCATGCTTATCTTACAAACACTTTGTGTAACTTCAAAAACAATTTTGATGATTTTATCATAATAAGACTAAAATATTGGCCGAGGAAGCTCCATAAAAACACAGAATTAATTATTCCATTTAACTATTCCAAGCAGTCGCATAGGTACGATTATTCTTCTGTTGATTTCGTAGGCTCTATTATTTATAAGAGGGCAATTAGGAATTTCAGTGTTTTGACACTTTTCACAAGAAACGACTATTTTGAAACTAAGTCCGCGTTTACTACTTTCGGTAAATTTGATATCTGAGTCACATACTTTGCACTTCACTACTAAAGAAATTACATTAAAAACTGTCATAAAATTGATAAAACGATATCCTAAAGAAGCATCAATTTCAACATCTTGAGCATCGTCACATAGTTTCAACTTCTTGACAGACGTACCTACACTTTCGGTGGGATCTCCGCTTCATACCGGTTTGCAGGTCGCTTTCTTGACGTAGACGGCTTTTTTGACGAACTTTGTCCGCCTCTTTTACTTTTATGTTCACGATATTTTGACTTGTTACCCATTTTTGTAACAAATTTCAGTAATTCTTACACAAAGTTTACGATAAACCACACGTAGAAAAAGGTTTTTGGTTTCGAATTTGAGTTTAGGCTACTGACACCATCTGTGAGATATTACTTGAACCTTCTAAACTACCAAAAACTCTGACAATACGTGTTATTCAATGGTAAAGCAGTTACGACGGATTAGACGGTCCAAAACCCGAACGCGTAGAAAGCATCCGAAATGGCCTCTGACGCGCCGCGAGGTGCCTCAGCAAATTGCCGTAAACGACCGGTAAGAGAATTTTTATGGCCATGAGACATTTTTTTCTTATTCTAGAGGGTTTAAGGAAAGTTTTAAGCTAATAAAAAAAATCGATCTTTTTGAAGTCGCAAGGTGGTGTTACCCCTTAATCTCTTCTCTATTGTAGCCACAACTGACTTTGGTTATGAAGCATTTTTTAGTAAGTCAGAGGTTGTTGTAAAGAACTCAGAAGGCGATGTGATTGTCCGTGGCGTCAAGAAAGGATATTCGACATATCAAATGCTTAAGGTTGAGAAACCAACTGAAGTTTGCATGGCTCAAAGGGAGGTCTCTGCATCGTGGGAGACATGGCATCGACTTGGACATGCAGGAAAAGACAAGGTTAAAGCTCCAAGGGGTATTGTGCAACTGGAAAAGAAGATTTCTTCTGAGAAACCTGTATTTTTGGAAAGATGACCAAAGGACCATACAAGGAAATCGTTAATAAGGATTTCAAGCCAAGTCCAAAAGTTCACTGCGACCTTAGTGGAAAGGTCTCTATTGAATCGGCAGGCGGTTGCAAATATTTTGCTGTCTTTGTTGACGAGAGCTCAGGCGCTACAAGAAAGTTGTTATACTAAAGAAGAAGAAGGAACTTGTCGAAGAATTCAAGAAAGTGATTCAGGAAGTCAAAGAAGAGACGGGTCATCCGATTGAGATTTTGCTGACCTATCAAGGCACTAAATTCACTGGTACATTATTTCAGGATCTCCTGAAGGAACACAAAATCAAGCATGAGATGAGTGTTGAGTATACACCACCGTCAAACGGCATGGCCGAACGTGCTATACGATCTCTTACTGAAAAGACTTGATCTCTGTTTGCAGATGCAAACCTACCAAAGTCGATATGGGCCGAGTGTGTCTCGACGGTTTGTTATCTGTCGAACCTCGTCGCCACTCGTGATCTAAAAAAGACATCATACGAACTCTGGCATGGAAAGGAGCCACCCATTGAGCATCTGCGTGCATTCGGTTGTGACGTTTTTGTGCACGTCCCAAAACAGAAGCGAGATAAGTTCGACAAGAAAGCTTGGAAAGAACAGCTGATAGGCTATGGACTGAGCACGAAGCTGTATCGAGTTTACTTTCAGGATCTTCAAGATGTTCGCATCACGCGTGATGTAAAATTCAATGAAGAAAAACAAAATTCTTTTTATGTAGAGGACGAGATGAAATCATCACCCATCGATGATAGAACTTATAAAAACAAAGAAAATGAGATCACTGAAGTATTTACTCATCCGAAGTCAACAAACGTACGTGAGCCCAGTGGACCTTTAACTATGAAGCTCCGAAGTCATAGCACCGTCATTGACGATGCTCCTGACGAGAAGCTGCAAGGAGGGCACGAAGTTTTGATGGCTTTAGTCACGGAAGAACCCAAAACAGCAA